TACAATAGAAGATACTCTTTATATACTTCTATGCTCAAAAAATAATAAAGATATCTAACAGTCACTTTTTAATATAACCTCAAATACATTAAAACAACTCCAAATTACATCTATCCCATTAATTATATTTCTTAATACTCTTTCACAATCTACTTTTAATTCTATAAACCCTCAATATAACTTTTTACTTCCTACTATACTTGGTATTTACTCGAAACCAATATATCGTACTCTTAAAACTTTACTCAAAAAACAAACTAAACACTTCACAATCAGCCTTTCAAACAATCTTTTTAAATGGTTTTATTACGAAATATAGTCTCAACGTAATATACATCAACATCAATGGAAATTGGCCCAAAATATTACTAACAAAACAAAATGTACTAAATTTTCTTTACCACTTACTACTAATCAACAAAATACAGAAACATCTACTACTCAACTACCAAATCTATTGAAAAATAGTACCTACTATATAAGCACGAAATAACAGGCATAGGCATTATTTTGAAATCCGAGCACTCCCAAAATAGCATATAGTGTCTTGAATTAGCACCCATGCATGTCCCGAATTAACACATATCCAATATAACCTGTAATTGATTGGTGCGACAATTCAATTGCATTATTGACCTGGGCCATATAAACTTGGTATTTTATTGTAGTGTGAATGAAACTAGTATCAATATCTAATACCATTATGTGAAACTTTATAGAGCTACTAGTAAATTGCTATATGACAGGTCTTTAGGTCTCACTATTGTAAATTAATTTTTCTTGTGTCTTCTCACTTCCGTATTTGTTTAATTTTTTAAGTCATCACTCACCTTCTATAATTGTACTATCATATCATAGTAATATTAGACATTATTATGTATTCTTGGTAGCTTATTTCATGCCAGAGCATTTACGCTCATACGCGCTTGCATAAACTTGTGATTATTGTGCTTTGAGCAAATATGGAATCTACAGTGTAAGCATTTAGATCCTGATGTTGACCATCTGTAAAATTAGAATGTACATAAGAGTGTGTTTTCATTCTTAGTTGAGAATAACATTTGCTCTCCAAAATTCCTCAATAAATAAATGTCACATATATTCACATCTTTTTTATAATAAATCATGAATATCCAAATAATATAATTTATCGCCCAATTCATGTGACACTTCTAACATCAATCACCTGAGTTTTACTCAGCATGACAATTGCAAGCTCTCTGATGGTTACACTATGCAAGATGCATAAGTATTATTTTAAAAGTATTTGGCTCTGAAAATTAGTTCTTATTTATTTCAAGATAACGCATATGCGCATACTCAAAATAACGTGCAGATCAATCAATTAATGCGCAGGGAAATGTTATTTCATGCTTATATGGTACAAGGCTTCTCTCTAACAACATGCATTATATAATGTCTAGATTAACACCTCAGGGTTTTCTCCAACCTATCCTAGCTAAATTTATTTTATTCATTTAAACTAATAATAGCATTAAATAGAAAATAGGAGGTATAATGTCACATTGGGTGCTCTGTAGCACAAGTGTAGTTAGAAATCTTTAACTATAGAAATTTATTTTCTAATCAACCTTCTTAAAATTTACTAGTTCAAGTTAAAGAGTTTTGGCAGCCTGGTTATAAATAAATAGCTTATCTGTCCTCTTACCTGGATTTGTAGACTATAAGATAACTTTTAATCTTCAAACTAACTGTAATAAAGTTTCTACTATGACATTATATTAATAAAAAAAATAAAAATAAAAAAAAATAAAAAAGATTCATAGAATTTGACTAAGTAGTTGCTAAGATATATTTATTCAAAGTTTTAAAAAATTTTCAAACTACCAAAAGCTATGCCAAAGTTTTCTTTAAACTTTGAGAAAAGATATCTTGGCAACTATAAAGCCAAATTTAAATTTTTTTTTTATTTTAATTCTATAAATTTATAGAATTTAAATAAAAAAACTTTATTAAATTTGACATTATAGTTGCCAAGATATCTTCTCTCTAGGTTAAAAAGAATTTTGACACAGCTTTTGTTTTGATATGTTTTGATATTTTTTAAAACTTTGAGTAAAGATATTTTAGCAACTACTTAGTCAAATTTGATGATTTTTTATTCAAATTCTATAAATTTATAGAATTTAAATAAAAAAAAGTTCATTGAATTTGACCTTGTGATTGCTAAGATATCATTACTCAAACTTTAGAAAAAATTCTGTATAGCTTATTTTAATAGATGTTTTAATTTTTTTTAAAAACTTAATTAAAGATATCTTAGCAACTACTAAGTTAATTTTAATAAACCCTTTTTAATCAAATTCCATGAATTCATAAAATTCAAATAAAAAAAGTTTATTAAATTTGGCTTTGTAGTTGTTAAGATATTTTTGTTTAAACTTGAAAAAAATTTTGTAAAGCCTATTTTGTAAATATTTTAAATTTTTTTTAAAACTTTAAGCAAAGATATTTTAGCAACTACTTAACTAAACTTGATGAACTTTTTTTATTTGAATTCTATGAATATATAGAATTTAAATAAAAAAATTTTATTAAATTTGGCTTTGTAGTTGTTGAGATATCTTTACTTAAAATTTGAAAAAAAAATTAATTTGTAAGTACAGTATATACTGTATATAACATGCATATGCACATACCTGCATTCAGCATACCATGAGTATGCATGGTATAAAAAAACACTATTTTGTCTATCTCTAGATAGATAGTCTAATGTTAACAAAACACATATAATTAATTATATGATTACTATATCACAATCTATTTTTATTGATCTCTTGTTACTAAATAAACTTAAAATACTGGTGTAAATATTGCATTTTGAATTGAAAGTGTTATGGAAGAAATAGATATTAAAAAATTTGTTACTATAATTAAAGATAATGCAAGTAACATGCATAAAGCTTGGAGTATTTTAAGACAAAGATATCCTCAAAAAATTTTTATTAGGTGCATTCAATTAATCTTTAGATTAAGGACATTATTAAGTTGAATTGGGCTAAACAAATTTTAGATGATGTTACAAAAATAGTTAAATACTATTATAAACATGAAAGAATTTTAGCAACTTTATATCATTTACAGCAAAAAAAATATGAGCAAGAAATTAGATTTAGGTAAATTTAAATTATTAGTTATTATACTTATCTATTTTAAATTACTAATATAATAAATTTTATAGTTTAATAGTTTCTACCAGATAGAATTTTGCATTTAATAGTTTTAATAGTTTATTAAATACTAAAGTTGCATTACATATTACTTTAACTGAAGAAAATATTGAAATTAATAAAGAAATACAAATTCTTCATTGTCAAGAATATTTTTGGTCAAATTTAAAATATTTACATAACTTTATTCATATGATTGAGAGTAATAATTTACTCTTATCTACAGCATATATTGAATTTAATAAGCTACTAAATTGGGTTAAAAATTATTAGCAAATATCTAAAGAAATCTTTAATCAAGTGATTAAATTTGGAAATGATAGATAAAACAGATTTCTTTTAAATCCTGCAATAATAGTTGCTTATAAATTAGATCCATGTTATCAAGCTAAGCTTTTAAATCTTTTAGAATAGGATGAATTAATTGAAGAAATTATTCAGCTAGCTAATAATAAATCTTCAGAATTAATTTTAAGTGAATTAGCAGATTATGTAGAAAAAACTGGTCCTTTTTCAAGTGTATTTATGGGAAAATTTAAAAGAAGATCCAATTAAATAGTGAAATTTGGTTAGTAATCATGTTCCAAATTTAAACAAAATTGCACTAAAAGTTTTTTTCAATACCTGCGTTATTTGCATCAAGTGAAAGAAATTAGTCAATATTTGGATTTATTTACTTAAAAAATTATAACAAATTAAATGATAAATGAGCTGAAAAACTAGTTTATCTTTATTGGAATTTATATATTTTGTGATCTTTATAGCAGTCAATTGATTTTAACTATAATGAAGAATTAGATAAATTTATTAACATTGAGGAAACTATTAATATTGAAGAAGATATTAATGTTGAAAAACTAGTTAATGAAAATTATAATAATTTAAATTTGTTATATAATTCAGATTTAAATAAAATAGATTATAATAATATTTTAAATACTAATAGTTTATGAGGAGACTCAGAAAATAGTGAAGATAATTCTATAGATTATTTAGCCAATGATACTTAGAGAGTATATTTTTAATGTAATTTTTTTTCTTTATTTTGTTTTATTATTATTATTTTAAATATATGATTAAGATTAAATTGGTTTAAATAATAAGTTTATATATTTTATTATATTAAATATATTTAATAAGGCTAAGATTTAAATTATATTTTAAGTACACAATTTTGAATTTATTATTGCTCAATCAAAGACTTTAGTACTACAACATGTTAAAGAAACTGGTCACCTATCACCAACTGCTCTAGCCTATACTAACAGAAAATGTAGAGAAACTACTAAATTATCAGTCAAATATATATAATGAAACAGGAATCTACTATTTTTCAAATAAGGAAAATACTAATTTACTACAATTATAGCTTAATTTCTGTGTCTAAAGTAGTGTTCAAAGATAAGCTGGCTTATCATAGCTTGCTGCAGCTTACTGCAGCTTATTATATAATAAATTCAAATTTATTACATGATAAGCCACAGTAAGCCACAGCAAGCTATGATAAGCCAGCTTATCTTTAAACACTAGTCTAAAAAGCAGTTTATTATTTATATAGCTATTATGAGAATCAGAATACTGCTGCTGATATACTTGTAATATGAAGATACTGAATGCTAAAAAAGGTCACACTGTCTCTGCAGCTATAGAGCCTAAATATAAAAAACTCATAGCCTTGCGCTACTTGTAGCTGCAGAGTTTAAATGTCAAAAAACATGATCCTTGCAATGTATGCACTGCTGAAGCTAAAAAGAAGATACCTAGATCTAGTACTGCTGTAGCTGTGAAGCCATATATAAAAAAAAATAAGATTCTTGTATTGCTTCTGCAGCTATAGAGCCTAATATTTGCTACTCCAGATTCTTGCACTATAACTGTAACCGTGAAGTCTGACTTATCTAAAAACAGAAAAGCCTGAGGATAGGGATAACAGAGCCAGCCTCCATACTAAAGCAAGCAATAGTGACAAGAAAGATGAATCTCTTAACATATATACAGTACAGTTTAAATACTCTTAATTATCAAACTCTGATTTATCACATCAATCTTAACATATAAAAATAAAGCTTCTATTATTCCCAGCCCATTGATTTATATCTGAGCCATCTAAACATACAATACTTAGTCTAATAATCACTTAAAAAATCAGCATCTAACAAGATATACATAACAATTAATAAAAATGCTATAAAGAATAAACAAATTCAAACATGTAACCGATCTTGCAATAATATATATCCTGTCACTTCGTTGAGAGGCTTCCAATTATGCATATTAGAACTTTAATATAATTTAATTTATTAATAAATAGATTAGCACAATTAGTATGAATTAAACAAATTAGTATAAATAAATAGATTAGTACAAATAAAAGTAAAAGTAAATAAATTGCTTTAAGTACTTTGATTAAAAAGTATAAGACAAAAAAATGTATTTGTAATATTTTTATTATTAAAATATATTAATTCTGATTGGTTCATATAACTTACTATATATCATAAATATTGAATATAACTTATATGTAACTTACATATAAGGTAAGTATGTAAGCTACAATCTTACAACTCTAGTAATAATATATATTATTTACTTGGTAAATACATTATTAGGCAAAAATCGTTGAATAATGGTAAATTCTCCAATGATCATGATAGTGGGGAGTTGCTTGCTAAGATTTAATTTGTATACTAAAATAAACATAATTACATTGTAATACATGAAAAAAAATAACAAAAATAATTTTTTTATGATTATATAAGTTTACTAGAAGTGTATTGTAAATTTAAAATTATTTTTCATTATTATATCTCTTAACCAAAATGTCTTTGCATGTTTCTCTCATCATTCTAATCCTCACAAAGGATATTAGAACTTCTTATTACAAGGCCTAGCAAAATATCAATCTAATAAAAACATTTTTCAATTTGTTAGATGGAAATATTTTTATTCATACAATAAACCTTGCATAGAATTCTCACCTGGTGGTAATATAAATACTAAACATTTACTTCTTAAGCATATTCTAATATTATAAAATGATACTTGGTCATGCTGATCTATGATTTTTTAAAACTAACATTCGTTTGTTATATGCACTTTGTAAATATTAAATTGACCAAGATATAGATAATGTATCGCCAGAATAATAAGGTTGCTACAGAATTTTTACAGTAACTCACTATATAAATTATAATAATTCCAATGCAAAATAATTCAACAAGCTAACTCACCTTTACATCATTATTAGAATAACAAGTTCTATAACAACAAAATGTATACAGTAACTCATGATAGAAATTGTGAGGATTATAACTAAATTTAATACTTCAATCCAGATATATTTTTTATATCCAGATTAATCCAGTTTTATTATAGTATAAATCTGAATATAAATTTAAATTCGGATTTATTTATATCCGATATAAAACATTATATCACGTTATATCATATGACATAGTATATATCCGGATATATAAATCCAGATAGAGGTATTAACTCTAATTCTAACTTAACTACATAGAAATTACAAGACAATTCTAATGCAACCTACCTTAACCTTAACCAGTACTGTGGTCACCAAAATAGCGAGTTTTTTAACAAAATTTTTGCAGTAACTCATGGTAGAAATCACAGTAATTCTAATACGATAATTCAATGCAAACTAACTCGACCTTAATCGCATACTGTAGTCACCAAAATAGTGAGGCTTTGCAACAGAATTTTTTAAGAAAGAAATAATAAGTATAAGCTAATTCAATCTCAACCACATTATGGTCGTCAGAATGGTGAGTAAGTATTGCAGAATTTTTTATGTAGCTCATAGTATAAACCATGAAGATTCTTATGCAAACTTACATGACCTTAATCAATCAACTTAGGTGCCGCACAAAAAAATGCGCGGAAGATCCTCGATTTTGATTGGCTAACGGCCGAATATCTTCAAAATTTTGGCCCGCATTACATAATTGTTTACTAATTTCTGGCCGGAATTAACTTTTTAATTTTTTCATTACAAAATAGAAATTCTTAAAAAATAAGACCACATTATGGTAAAATTGGCCCAGGAACAATTTTCAGTTAATGAGCGGCTGCGATTTCATTAGTAAAATTACAGAATTATGAGTAATTCCTGCCTAATTTTTTGGTCGTCGCTCTTAGCCAATCAAAATCGAGGATCTGCCGCGCATTTTTTGCGCGGCGCCTAGGTTCAATACCTTAAATCACATACTGTAGTATCTCATTAAACCTTTTACATCTAAGCATATCACTTATTCCTGAAATAGATATGAAACTTATTGATTTGGCAAATGATCATCGGTATGTGATCATTTAATATTGCCAATTATGAAAACAATGACTAGGAGAATGCGGTCCGGAGCTTAAAATTGATCTTAGTGTAACGTAGGATTAGGCCACAAAGTTAATTTTTCGGTTTGCATAACCTGGTGTTCCTTAATTCCAGTCGGCGAGTTGGTTTTTTTTTTAAAAAAAAATATTTTACTACAAATTAATAAATTCATACTCATATTTAAGGCACGCAAGTATTTTTGTTAACTTTTATTAAAACCTTTTATTGCATTTTTACAAAATTTTATTCTAATCCATTCATGCGTTATTCTGATGACGAGGTTAAAATGAATCATTCATCAATAAACATATAAGTTAGACGATCAGAATTTATAAATAGACCTATCAATGACAACAATTCTGATACCGTATAAGCGCGAAATAACGCCAGGGGCGTTATTTTAAATAATGGCCCGAACTAAGCTTAATTTAGGCCAGAATTCGAAATTATATCCCTACACGTTATTTCGCGCTTTATTCCAAGCAATAGTTACGCTTGTGTATATTAGTTTAAAATTCACATTTAAATATATTATCAATGTTATAGGGTTCAATGTTTTACCTAACTAAATAATTCACCTATTGATGATATAAGGTGAAAAATATCCGTATCTATCAAACAAATTTGGTAGCAACGTTCGCAATATCATTTATCACCAGTCATGAATAGTTTTGAGCGATTTGTTAATTCTGTAAACGCTTTTGATTCCAAAGCTTTTCAAGATATTTTAATTTTGATATAAGTTCAACTAATTTATTTAAATTGGTCAAGTTAATGCTAGAATGGGACCAATTCAAAAATTCGAATTGGGCTAGGTTAAAAGCTTTCAGACTAAAGCCAACGCAACCCCGACCTGAAATTTTCATGTTAATTTTCTTACCCAGGTCGGATTCGGCTGACCCAACTAATTCGGAAATGCGTCTATCAAATAAAGATGGTGCAATTAAAGAGTTACATAATTTAGAAATCATTTATGCAATATTGCATAATACAGAATAAATATATATATATTTATGTTAAATTTTATAATTAAAATCATGCAGTTGCAAAGATTTGATTGGGTTTGAGCATAGTGATCTAACCAATTTTTACATGAGTAAATAACGATAATGTTTCTTACCCCATTTACTACCCATTACGTAATTGTTACCGCTTTTTCCGAAAAATCATAAATGACTCAAAATACTGTTGATTTATAGTTGTTAATGGTGGCATACACCGGAGTCATCCAGGTTTAGCCTCAATCAAATTTACTAAATGGGAGCAAGCCTAATTTTATATTAAACATTTATTCATTATAAAGTTTTACCAGTATATATGTAATTTTTTAATATGATACCGAAAATTTTTTTTCTACTAAACTACTTTATTTCTCGTTTTACATTATATGGAACTTTAAAAGCAGGAATATATTTTTTTATTATTGGTAGCTACCTTTGTCAGAAATCGGATACCTCCGGCGATTAACGCCATCGGGTAATGTTGGATGCGTATTTAAAAAAAAAAAAAAATAGAAAAAAAACCAGGCGGAGAGATAATGCAAACAAATAAATTAACTTCGCATGGAGAATAAAGGTTTTATGTTTCTTCAATTGTTATAATTCG